TTCAAATGATGTCATTGTACTGTCATTATACTTCCACGTGATTTCTGTGCGGTTGGTCTCTGCGTGACATACTTAGTGGAAACCTCATAGAAAGCGGCTCTGAAGAAGGCGAAATCCGCCGAAACGTCAGCTTAATCGTGAACAAAGAATAGTAACACCTCGCGTTTGCTCAACAAAAATACGAAGAAAATCACTTGATCAATGCCGAGGTTAATAGAAAGTCGGTCGTGGCAGTCTCTTTCAAATGTCTTAATGGTTCTACTGGATATGCAAACGCCATCAATGTGGAGTAAAAGTGAGGTTCTAAGCGAGTACGTTATCGGGAAGATAATTGTACGAGAATCCGTCAAAAGCAAGTGCCAGAAACAATTCAAAGATCCCACCAACATTGGCTATAATACCACGGATACGTTGTGTAATGCCATGAAGTAGGAAAACAGGTTGGACACGTAGTAAGTTCTAACAACAACTGCTAGATAAAAGTCTTCAGCAGTTGTGTTTTACTTGACATGGTATGCGAAACAGGAACACGGCTAATTCAATGGTCAGACCGCTGGAGACAAGCGGACAACCAGAAGAGCGGGTTTTACACTGCAATGTACGAGCATCAGTGGAAAAAAAAGTTTTGGAAAAGCCGTCAGCGTTAGTCGCTTCATGGGGGATTCGCCATCCATTCGACTTCATCAAGCATCGTTAGAGGCGATTGAATGCATACCTGCCTTACATAGATAACTCGCATTGGCTTACTAATGTGCCTAGTCATAGCCTAGACATATTTAAATTGTAAACTTCTGTGTCTTATAAAGAAGCAGCACTTTCTAATTCCATTTCATTCACCAGAAGTCAACTGAGTGGGATGGCATTTCTGCAAAGCAGGAAAACTTGTTCGATAAAGCGCTGAATTTTTACTGCAAAATGTTAACGAGATTTAATTCCTTAATAATGCGCATTTTCACGGTAAACAGCGGTAAACAACGCCAAAGATATAATCTAATAGTGTTCTAACAATCGTTGACAGCCCAGAGCTTGAATAATATATTTGACTGTGCTAAGTTTTTATTTGCTGCCTACTAAAACTTTTTAATGTAGTGTAATTTACCCCCTCCCCCCCCTCGGAAAGGGTAATAGCGCGTTCGATCCCCACCGCGGACACCTGCGGTCCGGAGTTCTGCAAATATCCAAATATCTCAGCATCATTGTGGTTAAATTTTACCATGTCCTCCGTCCACATCATCTTTATTGCTGCACATTCTATCCATTTAGCTTCACTGCTACTTCAACCCGGTTAGTGTCTTAAATGTGTGGCTCATTGGCAATCGAGATCCTTACTTTGAATGATAACTTCGAATTAACTTCGAATTTATAAATGTGAACAAAATTTCGGAACATCTACGAATAACCAAAGCACTTAACATCTATTAATATTTTCGACTTTGTATCTTATCTGCGTAGTACATATAAAACTTTTTTATTGCTTGTGCTACTTATATAACACACGATCGAAGGTTCTATCAATCAGATGACAGAAGTTTCTTTGAAAATAACTGGTGCCTTAGCTACTTGAATGACTTTACTAACTGCCACTCAGTGTCTGTTGTTACGCCCAGACAAATGAAAAGTATTTCCACTTGCATCATTGCGTGCTGAAAATCTAGAATCTCATGAGCTATATCATGTCCTTTCGTGAGTGCGTGAAACTCAGTGGGGAGCCTATCGATCACAGATGAGAATGAAAGCTTTACCAGAATCCAATTAATTCGTGAAGTGCATTAACAGAACGCATATGACCCAATTAAAATAAGCTGCGTTTCAGGTCTGTACAACGAATTGCGATGGCATATCGATGGGTTAAATAAGTGATTGCATCGCATTAACTATTTCAAGTACCACTTCACAGACATTGGAGGGATGGATGGTTTGCTGAGCTTAGGGTGATTGATCGAACCGGCAACCACATCTGTATCACAGTTTGACTATGTACTGCGCTACAAGCGCCCCGGCTGACTCCAGCCATAATAAATGTGGTCTATTTTTTCCTTTCGTACGACCCATCTTCACTTCTACTGTGGGTATCCCAAGATTTCTTGCAATCGATTTGCTTCCTGGTATCCATCATCCAAGGACGTCTCCGTGCAATTCGCGTGTAACTTCAGCTGCTGTTCGACGATTTTGCCTTCTTTATGAATGTCGTAAAATCCTGGTCCACTTTCCTTACGGTCATGGAGATAACTGTACAAAGGCGTTTCGACATTGATTGCAGCTAGTAGGGTACTGAATGCCAAACCCTGGAAAAATGAGTGGTTTGGAGACTTCGGTACGGGGTCGAACTAGCGCTGTACTCATGACGAACGGCATCGCGACCACTTTGCTACCCGTTCCTTTGAATGTTTTCTAAGTTTTGGATAATGAAGGAGCTTTCCGCTTTCTTAGATTGCTCATTGCATTTACACTTTAAGAAAGGCACTTAAGTGCGATCATCTATGACTAATAATTCATTTAGGCTAGAAGTCATAAAAGGTTTGTGGGCTTCGATGTCGTCCTCTACCATTTGATTTCGCTTCAGTTTGTTTATTCGCTAAAACGCACAGAAAGAGTGAAGTCGTGTATCAGTACGAAAATTCTCACGACACTCCTCAAAGGCAGTTTTCTTGGTAAAGGATAAAGGATAAAGCTCTCGGCAATGATCAATCCTTAAGGGATTCGCCATGCATTCGACTTCATTAAGTATTGTCGGAGGTGATTGAATGCATATCTGGCTTTTACAATGACTCGCGGTGGCCTACCAATGTATCGAGCCAGTGCTACTATCCTCCCAGACCAGTCTGGTACCAATTCGCCCACCCCGGAGGGATGGAAGGCTTGGTGGGCTATGGGCGCGGGAATCGATTCCACGTGTGTGCCGCAGTGGCGCCTTCAACCGCTGCGCCCGTTTTCTCGGTACTAAAAGAAATTTCGCTGCTCAACTGCTCAGCTTTATAAAGTGCTCATTTTCCACCATTGTTATTATTTCTTTCATTCCCTTTCTTTTTTTTGTTTTGATGCCCAAGTTGCTTACGGAACTTTGTCGCTCAATTCCCTAAGACTTACTTCCTTGGAGATGGGAATGCTGTAATGCAACAAATTTAGGTTGTCATATAACTTTCACTTTCACAAGTTTATAAGTTAAACTTTAGTTACTGTTAAAAGTTGAGTGTATTTAAATTCATGCTCCAACGTATCGACCTTAAGCGTAGACTTGGGAACTACTAGATCACGAATCCCATTTATCACTAGGCGCTTTTGATAGTTGTCTCATAGCTGCACTAACATCAAAGATATGTGCGAGCCGAATAGGAGAATAATATCGTTGGGATAAAGCTGCAGGGTAAACGAGGATTCAGAAGCGTAGCACAACCTTGTGGCCTTCCCGTGTACTTTATCATAACGGAACAGCAAATGACTGTGTTAATCTGCATCCTACCTACGGACTAAGCGTTGTAGTACTTCGATCTACCAACTGATTTGCAAATCCATGAAACTTCGTCCATCAAAATCATGTCAGCACATTCCCGATGACTCTACCCCATATGGGGGTACTGCGTTGCTAGAATAATGGCCGATTTCAACTTGAAGTCAACATATCACAGTTCATACTGAATTTCGTTATTTGTAATAAAAACTATTAGAACCTAAGAATCTTTGCCTAGATGCTGAGAGGTCTCTAGTTTTACCCCGATATATTCTGAGTTTCTGAGTTTGTCCCGCATTTCCCTTCCAATTAGGTGTTTCAAAGTTCATTTTTCTAAAGTGAAAGCAAATTACGAAGCGAGATTTGGTCCAGCAGAACAGTAGCCCTCCTCAGCATACCATTCATGTCAGCAAATTCCACTTCTCAGTCGTGATTTTGGGAAACTAAACTTCGTTGAGGTTTTTTTTTGAAAGTTCAAATTATAAACATATCTAACTTTTAATGGACAACGTATAGAAATCCTATATGTGTCCAGTCTCATAGACCTGGGTCTTCTTCATAGATCTATAGAGTTCCGTCCTCAACTCTAGAAAAATTCCCGTGATCAAAAGGAAATCGTCTATTGTGTCCATCTCACATATTTATTATAAATGTGTACTGCGATCACGTGAAACCCCCAGAGACCATAGAATTTATCTTATAAAAAAATAGCTGCACACATATGCATATAAACACAAAGGTAATAATTAAACCGGTAGGAATATGAAAAAAAAGATCGATACACTGAGGCTCCTATAATGTCAACGTAATGATTATGTACCACCTTGAACGGACAAAGTCTATTGAAGGAGAAAAAACGCTTAAGGCTTCACCGGTAGAGCAATTATTATTAGGCCCATAGCCCTAATATTCATCGCTAATTATTCTGAGAAACACTGTTCGCAACTAAAAGGTAGCTACCGTTGACGCTGACACAGTAACACCAAAATTCCGCGTATTCCTAACGGGACTTCCGTCCCACATAGCCTGTGAATTTATGGCGCGCTAGGCTGTGAACATTATCGACCACTTATCTAGCGATGGATTTAGAACAAAGATGTTAGAACATCTTGTTCAAATCCATCAAGGCTATGAATCTTATCTTTCGCCTTACTACAAACTTTTGGCTCAATCATCAAAAATCAAGAATCGTGTTAAAAGGCTCTGAAAAAACAAGTTTTCTATTCACTGGACCAAGCTCAAATGCTTAAACAAAGGCTATTATTCACAGATATTGCCACAGACTAAATTTAGCCGATTGTAAATTTGTTAGATTAAAAAAGACTTGTGATTCTTAGCAAATTTGCATTCGTTAGTTTTGTCCTTAAAAAAATCTACAGTAACGCTTTGCAATACCAACTTGACTGGGGTGCCAGAAAAACGGTAAACTGCGCTAACAGCCGGCAGCACTTAATAATTCAGGACTTACTCGACTGTTGTTGAGGGTGAACACCACCTTATACCAATCTGGGTTCCAAATTATATGCACCAATAGTTGGAAACCAATTATTGTCTATTCCATCGATTCCGTCTTCAACATAGAATGATGGGGATGATCGTATGTCATTGAGAGTAGACTGTCGCTAGCTGCTGTAGCCGAACTGGTGTCAAGGGTCTGCTGTTCGGTCGGGCTGCAGAGTTCGTTCAACACAGGAAATTGAGCGCTAAGTATTTGGAGACTGGGGGCAATCAAAGAATTTACGAAGCTCACAGGCGTAGTGGGAATAAGTTGAGAAGTCACCGCGTTCACCCTAAGCGCGGTGCCTTTCTGATTGGATTCATCGTTATAAGATTTAGTTTGTTGTTCAGAATTCAGTAGATGAGAAGCTAAGCTGGCTAAGGGTAGCGTACACGAATACGGTGTTTCAGAAGGGCCTGTGGTTGCTGTGAACTGTGGAAAAGCGATTCCTAGACGAGCCGCCAACGCGATGACGTCGAGTGGACGCGATTCCGTATCTCTCTGATCAGCAGTGTCTGGCTCCTCCATTATCGGAGATGGAGTGGAACCGATGCCGGAACTCTGAAAGAAAAACGCGATAATCGAAGGAGTTGAAAATCGTTGAAAAAATTGCACTTAGTTGACCTGAAAGTACACGTATATACTTTTACACTTCGATGAGAATACTTGATGTTCGCATTTTTTAGCGGAAAAACAATGCTTCTATAGTTTTTATAGCCTCCTGATAACATTGGTTACTGCCTCATTTTTAGTACCGTTGTATCGGGCAGGTGGAAAAACAATAATCATTTTTGGACGCCAACACTGAAATGATATAACGTAATCAATATGCATTTTTTCTTTTATGAGCTTACACGGGGTTGATATACGATATTTATTCGGCTAACGATAACGTTCCGACCTCTTCGTCTCCATCGGGGCCGACGATTGGTCCACGGTTGTTCTTTGTCTCGATGTGGCAACTTGGCCTTAATCGGCCTTACGCCTTCGCCTCCGGTGAGGACTAAGACATCGAAACGTTAGCCACGAATAAATATCGTGTATCAACCTGGTATAAGCTTATCAAAGAAAGAACACATATTGAATAATCATACCGAGGTTAAAGGGAGGTAGGTTTTGAAATATTGCTATAACTTTGTTCAAACACGACTTCATCACTCAAAACAACAGCCATTGAAGCCTATACCCTTTTACAAGCAAGCTATAGAACTATTTTTTGTGGGATAGAATACCGAAGACCTAACGAATTTTCCAAGTGAGTAACTATTGTCTAATTATGAAGGTTGAGTTTCCCTACAACCATTGAGAAGGTTTTGGATGGGCAGCTTCGAACATCGCCTTCAGTCGACCGTTCCAACTGCTGATGAACTCATTCAACCTTCACTGTCTTGGGAACTCAAATCTCTGGTATGAAACCTTTCGAGTCCATCTACGTTCTCGCCGTTCGGAAGTCATTCGGTGGCTACCGTTGCTTTAAGTCCCATTTTAAGCTGATGAAGTAAAACAATGAGACGTGATATAAGAAAATCATTTGAATCGCTTAAAGTTATTGTAAAGTATTATATGAAACTTTGTTAAGCAAGAAGTGGTGCTAAAATTTGATGCACCAATAACCCATTCAGATATTATTATTAAGATTTGTTTATAGCGACAAAAACGGCAACTACTTTTCCACTAAGCTCATAAAAATGGCTAAAGAAATATTAGCGAACAATGAGAAGGAATTTATTTAAGTGCGTTCCGACATAAAGACTCATTATCGCAAATGTTTTATAGTTTGGATGTCGACCTACTATATAGGATAGGGTTTAATAAGCGTACGTGTAGCCCAGCAGTCGGAGGCGCCCTGTAATACACATGAGATCGACCCCCGCATCCTAGGCCTACCAAGCCCACCATATCTCCAGAGTCAGCAAACTGGTGCCAAGCTTATCTGGGATAACAGCAGGACTGGCCCGATACATCGGTAGGCCACCACGAGTCATCGTAAAGGCCACATATGCATTCAATCACTTCCAACGATGCTTAATGAAGGCGAATGCATTGCGCATCCCTAAGGGAATGATCAACACCGAGAGCTTTATACTTTTGTCCTTTATCGTTTGCATTACTGTATGCACCTATAAAATACCTACTTATGCCTATTATATGTAGCTTAATATTTAGTCAGAAAGAGGTCATAAAACGTTGATTCCCTACTTGACTTGAATGATACTTGAATGGCCCGCCCTCACTGGTTGTGCCGGCGCCAGCACAATTTCCACTTTTCGGAAATTTGCTGGTTAAGCCATTGTGGTTCGCTGGAATCCCGAGGTCAGCCTGGCCAAAGTCTACCCCAGGTTGTCACCACCACAGGCAGTCGCAGCCCTTGTGGATCAGAGAGAGATTTACCACCATGCGAGTTTGATACCAGGGCGGTGGTGGATCCTGGTATTGACTTACTCTTAGCTAGGCTTCCTGATGGAAACGCCGTACTCCTTAGCCTAGGAGACCCTACCGGTGGATGAATCCCTCCGCTGTACATCTCAGCCCGACACCCAGGAACACCTCCCAGCCACGATGAGACGGTAAATCGTTGTGAGGTTCATCGATTTCTATAGAAAGCAAATACATAATAGTCATCATTCTGGATGAAATTTATCATCACGGCTGCAACAAAAATGACATTCACAACAACGCTATTTTTCCTACCATTCACTGTGACAACTGTAGTGGTCATATCGTCCATGACGTCCCCTCAAAAATGACTCCATATTAACCACATCGCCGTGATTGTTTTAAATACGTTCGAAATAAATATAAGTTAGTTTCTATAACTTTCGCAGGACGCGTAGGATTAAGTATACTGCTAGGCTATATTACTTATCGTGCTTATATACCATATTAATTTGGCAATTATAAGATCAGATTTCATAATTGCGTACTTCGTGGAAACAACTAATCAAATAATAGCTTGCAGTTGAGCCTTGTGTTATTGTTAATGACGAAGAATAGACTAATTTGTTTCCATGAGCTCTCGTTGATGAGCTCTCAAGAAGTCGCTCACATACAGCTTGTTACCAAATGGTTATTAACGCTGCGCAAGTGAGTAGGTGCTAGAAGAGTAGAGAGCATAAAACGGTGACAAGCACTTTTAGAGGTCGTTCTTAGGTGGACGTGAAAAATCTAAGCTGCACGTTTTTCAACGATTGAAACTATCAAACTGTCTCACAGACAAAGCTGGCAGACCCTCTCTTAGACATAGAACGAAGTGAAAACAGTTAGTACCTCTGAATAAGAAACGTTAGCAACTACAGCTAAGAAACAGGCAACAGTTCGTGAAAACAATACAACGCTGTTAAATAATGCCTAGGTTAACCGATAGTAGGAGAACGTGTGGCGCTGTGGTCGGAGGTGCTCTGCAGTAAACACGGGGTGCCGCCATGACGGACCATGCCTTCCATCGCTCCGAGGTCGGCAAATTTGTAGCGGAACTGTGGATAGCAGCACTGGCTCGATACATCGGTAGGCCACTACGAGTCATTGTAAAGGCCAGATACATTCAATCATCTCGAACGATGTGTAATGAAGTTGAATGCATCCCTCAGGGATTGATCAACGCCAAGAGCTTTTATATCCTTTTTCAAGCACATGACCACTACTGTACACTAACATTAATCTCGATGGTAGTCTGAAAAATCGTCCATTAAAATTCATAGATTCGTCACAGCCTCAAAGTAATGACGATGAACTTTCTTTTTAAAATTCGGAATATGATATGAGGCAGAAGTAGGTTGACATTGTTGAACTTAAAGATTTACAGACATCATTTTGCGATAAATTCAAGACATTTAGTAAACGTGAGTACCTCGGATTTATCCCGAAACACGAATTCAGAATGAGTGAAAAAAAACTAGGACAACTAAAGCAATGTGTCTATCTATGCAAAATGTTTGAATGTTCGGCTTCAAAATTTTAGTTTATTGCTGAACATTACTGGAAATCTCAATCTAACGCCTTGTGAAACAAATGTCAATGTGTTTAAATTCTTCATTCATCATAAGACAATTGATGAAAGACTTGATCAATTCTGGGAGAGTGCAGCACAGTGGTCAGAGGCTGCCTTTCACACAGAACGGGTGTCGGTCGGTTTCCGGTTCCAATATGACCTACTTTGGGCAGACAATACATCTTACATCAGTCGTTATCATATTCCATTTATATTCTATTCTGCTCTGTTCTTTTACTTTTTAGCAAATTACTGTAAAGCTTCCTCTCAGCGTGTTATCTTTCACTAACAATTGTTCCTTGGACTGCGTATGTACGACTACTACATCTTTGATCGTTTTAGGTACAGAAAATTTCGGTACGATACAGAAGAGATACCAGATCACTAAAGGTGATAATCGTCGATAACCATAAGAATGTCTTGAGAAGCGTAACTCGTCTAGGAGATGAAAACCTAGCAATGCATTAATTTGGTTGTGCTAACATGTGAATTCTGCTAACGGCTTGACCATTCCTCATCGTCACTTGGATATGTTCCTAACTGTCGGCTTGCGATCTAAAGCGGTGGGATTCATTCCCCGCAGAGCCTTCTAAGCTTAGAAGGAGTCGGACGCTTCAATCGTGAAACCCAGCTAGGAGCAAACCAATACTAGGATCCACCACCGTCTTGGTATCGAACCAGTCGCATGGTGGCAAATCTCCCTTTGATCCACAAGGGCGGCGACTGCCTATCGTGGTGACGAGCTAGGGCTGAGTTTGGCTAAATTGATCTCGGGATTCCAGAATTCTATGATGGATAGAGCGGGTAAACTCTGACTCACACAACAAATGAGATGGGCCATCAAAGTGTCCGAATATCACGTACATAAAATATAGTATAGTGAATCGGTCAGGGTCTCAGACTTAAGAGTCGCTTTGAACATTTGGCAACACTTGATATCTTAACTCATACATTTGTAACTAAAGTGCATTTGATTGTACTAATAAAACATGTCGGCTGTGCGGGTCCTAGCACTTCTCACATTCCATTGGTTTCCTCGCATCCAAAAACAAACAAACAGACAAACACAAAGATTTTTCTAGTTTTTACGTGTGACTTCGTTTGTTGTTTGAGGATTTTCATTTCATTTTGAATATCGTAGAATGCTGGTCGAGCAATTCTCCCTGGAGTCCTGAGATAGCCGGGCCGGAGTGCTCTCAATTGGATTGCAGAGAGTAGTTTTTTCCCAGTCAAGTCCGACACCAATTTTCCGACCTTGGAAGGATGAGAGGCTTGTTTGACCAAGAGCAGAATCGAATTAGTACCATGATCGTGATGACGGGCATCACTACCATTGTGCTATCCGCTTTCTATTAATAAATAAAATAAACATGAAACACAAGAATTTGATAATGGAAATATTTTTAGATGAGGTTTGCTTGAATAAGTCATTCTTAGCACAATCATTTCAGATAAGGTAGTTAAGGAAAAACAATATTCAATATCCAAAACAATTTCGGTCTACGTCTGTTGCATCAGTCGGACTACTTAATGCAGTCACAAGAAACGCAAACATCCTCAACGATTCTGATTAGAACGCAGTGAATTTCCCTCCGATCCAACTTGCCTTTGATGAATACATGAAATAGCGCACGGTATAGTCATCTTGGAATCACAAGGAGAGCAACGTACTCATTCAGCTTTCCTTTCGACAACTCGTCTTTCATGTCTACTGTGTGGATCCCAGCACTTCTCTCATTCGATTCATTTCTTCGCATTCATCATCCACGAAGGTTTTCCAACTTTTCGCGCATGCTTTCGGCAGCTGTTTGAGGATTTTTCGTTTTATTATGATTGTGGTTGAATGGTGGTCAGTCGATTCTCTCTGTGCTCATGAGATAACCGGGCTAGAGCCTTCTCAGTTGGATTTTAGGGAGTTCCCACTCGTTGGACTTGAGAGCGGAACAAAGAAATGACAAATCGTAAAGCCGTTGCCGAATCCACACCGTAATCAACGAGCTCCTTGAGTGACGGTTCTCCTTAGATCCTCCTTGGGTGACGGTTTTAAGAGAACGAAATAAATAGAACTGCTAGCGCCCATACTTCATACAAAGACGGACCATCTAGACATCTATGTAAATGCCCTTAAGCCGGTGTTCATAGTCAAATACGCAACTTCAACAAAAATTCTCGTCACTGAAGCAAAAATACTTTACATTTTATTTGCATTAGGTAGAATTCGGACAGATTCTAAAAATCCTCTACGCCAAGATTGCAGAGTAAAACAATATTATGAATGACAACCACAATGATGCTGAGATATTTGCAAAGCTCCGGAGAGCAGATGTCTGCGGTGGACAATGAACGCGCTATTACCCTTTCAGGAGGCTAGCGCATTCACCACCACCCCATGCAGGTCTATATTACGACATTTTATACAAAGTGCATCATAGACAGCATCGCTAGTTTCCTCTTTAATACGGCGTTAAATGTGTATTTCGTAACACTCAATTTTACGTAATATTGCTAATCTATTTAAAATACCGTGGAATTCCGTGATTTCTCGCCGACTTATCAGTTTATAGGGACGATTTCCCATAAACTCTAGAGTAAACCATAATTTTACACCAATCACCTCATACTAGCCTCTGAATGATAAACAGATCTTGGACGGAACGACCTTTGGATAGAACACATGACTATGCGTATATTGTAAGGTACCTCTAACTACTGCACTACAGTCGACCAATTTGCTACAAATAGTTACAAGTAGCTAATGCAAAATACTTATCAGTTTATAGAGATGATTTCCCTGTATGTATGTATGTATGTATTCCACTTTCAAAAATGAGATAATCAAGAAATTTTCGACCCACCGTAGCTTCCTCGTTGAAAATATGTGCCGGTGTAGTTGGTTGACTAGTTGTGATGCCGACTACTTGTTCGCTTGCCTCTTGAGAACGTCTTCGGAGTTCCTTCCGCTTGTTGGCAAACCAGTTGGCGACCACTTGAGGTGACACCACCTCTTTTGGCATTAGTGCAACACCTAAATAAAGGACTTCCGTTGGATTGTCAGGAACTCGATTCAGGAGCTAAACCCAGTTCGACATTAGGCAGGAACAAACATTTCCTTCCTATAGCAGCTACCGAAAGGTACGCACGGTTTGTTATCGGATGCGATTAGAACATTCATAGAAGTCTCTCAATTTTAAGCTTCGAAGTTGATCTACGCAAAATGCAAAACAAAATGATTTTAACACATTCTCCACTACACGTGTTAATTTCAGTGACTGTGATATGAAATCGGTGACCATTTTAAATTTAAACCAATATATCACAGCTAGAAATAAACCCTACCATCTGAGATAAAACCAGTAAGCTCTGTGATTCTTGTTAACTAGGAAGGGAATCTTCTTCAATGATGCTGAGATATTTGCAAAACTCCGGACCACAGGTGTATGCGGTGGGGAACGAACGCGCTATTGTCTTTTCCGGGGAGTAGCGCATTCACCACCACACCATGCGGGTCCTTCGTTTCGCCTGTCTCTCAGCTAGTTCTATCGTTCTCTTGCCATCAGCAATCACCCGTCAGCGGGATTGATCTGGGAGCCCACCTAAATCAGCAACGAACCCAGCTAAGCTGAGGCAACAGCCGAAGTCTTCTTTTTCCATTAAAAGTTAAATTATGGTTCCATGGAACCCGAAAAACCAGACATAGATTTGTACTCTGGAAATAAAACTGAATAAGCATCATTTCCACACAAAGGACACTCTCCAGTAACACCAATGATTTCCATATTCCATCCCGTCAGAAATTTTGAAATTTGGACTTTCTTCAATTTCATAAAAAATTCGATTTTAAAAAAACTAAAACCGAAAGAATAAAAGGTTAGAGGATAAAGTTCTCGGCGTTGATCAAGATCAATCCCTGAGGGATGCGCCATGCATTCGACTTCATTAAGTATCGTTTTGAGGTGATTTAATGCATATCCGGCCTTTACAATGACTCGCGGTGGCTTACCGATGTATCGAGCCAGTGCTGCTATCCTCCCAGACAAGCCTGGTAACAATTTGCCGACCCCGGAGGGATGGAAGACTGGGTGGGCTACGGGCGCTGGGATCGATTCCACACGTATGTGTTGCAAGGCGCCTCTGAGATCTGCCCTACATGTGCCCTTACATTACTGAAAGGCTATTATCTAAAGACTAAACATGGCTTTACGAAAATTTATAAAAGTCTCTTCTATAACTATAATTCGATGAAGACCTCAGCTCCTTAGGTATCCTACGCTAATGAAGTTATCCTCACTTGTCGAAAAACCGGCTTCATCGCGAATATTTTAAGTTTTCGGATCTCTAAAATACCAGCTCTAATGCGAATTTTAATCGATTTCGCCCAATTTGTCAAGGTATCTGGCTTTTTCCTTGTGTTCCTTCAGGAACAGTCACGTCAAAAATGTGCTGGAGAATATTAAAAAATAATACGAATATCATATATTGTATTAAATTTGCATTGCCTCCAAGTACAAATGTGAAAGCCGAGCAAAGTCCACTAAAAACCTTCAGTGCGTTCGATTCTCGCAAAATAAGAACCTATGATAAAAGACGTATTTTTAGTATTCGTACCTCGTTTTTCGATCTGCAGGACTTGATTACAAGCGCTAGCGATCTCCACCCTCTTGTTCAGATCGGGAAATGGCGATTGAGTGAAGAATCCTTCGAGAATTTTGATGAGGATTGGTCGAAAGACATAGCGTTCTCGCCGTTGGGGGACCAACTCGCCATCGCCGTTGGTCTCCAGTCGAGTGGACGGATCGGCGAAGAACACCGCTAAAAATGGAGGCTGTTTAGGATCTGTATTAAAATTACAATGAAAATTACAAAATTACAATTTTTTTACAATGAAAATGGAAACTAAACCAGTCTGTCATCTCTATTCTTCGCTGGGAACATAAAACCAGTGCTTTCAAGTATAATATCGCCTAGAATCTGGAATAAAGCGTTCGACAATGCTCTATAAATGGGTAGAGCTCTCGACGACGTTGATCAATCCCCGAGGGACGCGACATGCATACGACTTCATTAAGTATCGTTTGGAGGTGATTTAATGCATAACCGGCCTTTACAATGACTCGCGGTGGCTTACCGATGTATCGAGCCAGTGCTGCTATCCTCCCCACAAGTCTGGTACCAATTTGCCGACCCCAGAGGGATGGAAAGCTTGGCGGGCCATGGGCGTGGATCGATTCCACATGCGGTGTTATGGTGGCTCCCCCAACCACTGCACCACACGCGCCCTTCAATATCTGGTTATGTGCGAGAAACCTGATAATTTGCCATCTAATAAAAAATAAAACAACAGTTTGCTTTGATAACCTATGGTAGGCCATTGTATTCATGTGTTCGAAATTCCTGCAACGTATTGAAATGCCTATATTATTCTGGATTTCATTGCAGCGATGTGCCTAATGATAACTAAATGGCAGCGGAGGCGGGAAAACTCGACGAATTTTCTAGAACTATAATTTTATGGAGTGGCGCGCGCTTAACACAGTGGTTACAAACTCCCTGAAATACACATGGGATCAATCCCACGCCTCAGCTCACCAAGTCCTTCATCACTTTGCGGTAAGCAAATAAGCACCACACATATCTGGGAGGAAAGCAACACTGAATCTATTCATCGGTAGGCCACCGCGAATCATTGTAAAGGCCAGATATTCGTTCAACCACCTCCGAACGATGCTTAATGAAGTCGAATGCATGGCGCATCTCTTAGGGATTGATCAACGCTGAGAACTTTGTCTCTTAACCTTTATTTATGCTTACAGATGAAGAAACGCTTGATTTGTGAAGCCTTCTTATGTTCATGCACCTTTTAATATGAAGCATAGTGCATGAAGGTAGTGGTTAGTGGTTTCTTGCAATATAGCGACGGTCGGCTCGACACTTAGTCTCGGGAAACCAAGCTTTTCACCTCTTCTAACTTGATAAACTGGTACCAGACTTGTCCGGTAGTACAGGAGCACTAACTTGGTATACCAGTAGTCACCGTACAACGTTATACAGACCAGACAGACGTTCAATCAGCTTTCACGCCTCTTAATGAAGTTAAAGGCATGGCACATCTCTCAGCGCCGAGAGTTTAATCCTTTTATTCTTTATAGTGCAAGTAGGTGTCCTACAGGTGTACTTTCAAAGCCCATCTGTTGTACTCAAGTATGCATGTGCATGTAAGTGCATGTTATTGATATTTACGGCCAACAACAACTTTTTAGCTATTAATGATAGAAAGGAAATAGAATGCATTACAAGCACAGCTTTTAATGGAGAACAGAAAGTCTGGTTAGTTTTATATGCACTAGCCGACGACAATATATCACAGTCACAGTGTTCACTCCCGCTTATTAGGCTATTCTATTGCCATAACTAGTGTTTCACAGAATCAATTCACCCCAAAGTATTCTAGGGTACAAGACAAGTTGAACAATGCCAGTCATAAGAGCAGAATTGTCCATCGAGTTCCAGAAATATACAATGATTCATAGGAGCCGCAGCTACAATCAGTTCGTAGCGGAGCCTCTGAAGTACTGAAGTGATTTTTTTTTTTGAAATTATGATGAAGGGAAATTTTAGGCATATATCGTGATGAATAAAGTAAATAAAAGGCGGAGCGTCATCACGAAGCAAAGTGCTGGTTCGATCCCTCCGCCATCGATACGTCAACCCTCAACCTCCATGGGAACACCTCAACTAGGTTATCTCCAAAACTGCAAAGAGGATCGACTCGATTCCATTGATGGACGATGCAGACGAGAAAGATCAACCGAATGAACGAAGTCGTGGGAACCACACAGTAGTGTGATAACGAGCCGTGTGAAGTAGGAATAAAACAAATAAGTATAGTATCAAACTGTAGAAGTTGTGCAGATTTCAGCAAATAATTCATTCGTCTCGTCTCGCGTGAGTCGTCAAGGATAAACTTCGAATTTCCGAATGTGCTTGAAGGCCCATTCAGGACATTGAATTCAACAAAAATGTCGTTGAGATAACTCTAACAAAGATCTGCGAAGCTTTCACCATAACCACTCGACGTCTTTTTGTGGATAGGAGCGGGCCCTTTCCGGACAACAATGGTATTGATAAAGCATGGGAGGCTTGACCGGTTTAGCGCAAGTTCGAACCAAAGACCATGTGTGTATTGTACGGTATCTCCAAGCATAGTGCTTTCTGTAACCTTATGGTATTTTAATCCACGGAACTAGACTATATCAACTCTGCCGGTAGATAGACTATACATAAATTCCTCAAAGCAACTCGCAGAGGTGGTGAACTTTGAGGACAATATAATGGCACGAACTTGTTTAGAACAAAGTCGCGATATTTTTTTATACATACCTCAATGTAGTGGAGCACGTGTGGCGCAATAGTCGGAGGCACCCTGCAACACACACATGGAATCGACCTCCATGGGGCCCATGGCCCACAAAGCTTTCCATTCCTCCGGGGTCGGCAAATTGGTACCAGACTTGTCTGGGAGGATGGCAGCACTGGCTCGATACATCGGTAGGCCACCGTGAGTCATCGTATAGGCTAGCTGTGCATTCAATTACCTCCAAACGATGCTTAATGAAGTCGAATGCACGGCATATCCCTCAAGGATTGATCACGCCGAGAGCTCTATCCTTTTCTTATTGCCTCAACGCACCATTAAATTAAAAAATGAAATGTCACCACCACAATATACATTCGCATTGCTATTTTTAAATATGAATGCCGCAGTATTCATGAGATGAACAGGATCTTTTTTGCCCTTATCGGTACTCCTCTAGGGATAAATCGCCTTTCACTACTATTTTTAAAATGTAATTCAGTTTCTCTTTGTGTTTAGCATACAGTAAAACTCCTGGGTTACAATTTTTGTGTTTCTTTCTTTTAATATGCTCGATTAAAACAATTTTTATTCCTAGTTTTTCAAGTTTTACACATTACACGGATGGCTCTCCGTTTCTTCTACTCAATTTCTCACCAGGTCGACCCAGATGACGTTCATTCTCGTTTGCTGTTTTCTCAACAAATCTGTGGTCTTTGATAAATTTTACGTGGCAAAAGTAAGGTTTGAGAAAAACCATGAATTCGACAATGTTCTTCATAGATTACTAATTCAATGGACGACGTTGATAGGAATGTGAGCGCTCCGGCGAAGAAGGAGTTTAAGATTTCAGTAAATCTAACGATGGAAGCGAATGGTAAATGAGTAGTGAGTGATCAAACCACAAAGTGCTTCACAACACTTGAACCTTCGAAGACAATCAGTCTAGAGATGATCAACAATTTCTGCTCGTATGCAACGAACTAGTACGTTTTCATGAAACCTTTGTGGATGGAGCATTTCGGATCTTATTGCGAATGGAACAAGACCAACAGATAATGAGTAAAGAAATGATCAAAGTGCTAATCAGAGGACTCTAAGAGTTATAGACGTTTACCGAACATCACTTCAAATTAGGATTGTTAGATTGCTAGCAGTAGTGGATCGCTGAACTACAATTTCTGCCTTCGGATGCAACCGTTGACAGACCTCCACTTGAAAAATTCTGGGAGATTTCCTCTCGGAAATCTTTTTCTGTAATCAATCTAGCTTGAACTGTTTGAGTACTAAAACATTTCACATTCCCTGCCTTGAAAAAAAGAATAGTCAGTAAATAAAAAGTGATTACACTAAAACATACCTAGTAAGGTGGTGTGGCAGGACAATAACGAAGAAAGCAGCACAGAATCGACGCGGATGGCTGGTAAATCTGCTGAGGCAACGTGCTACACGAGTGCCACATCGGCTTCACATTAACGATAATTAGCACAAACAGCGTCATGTTTGGACCAGACATTAACAATAGGCAGATGAGGTGTCGTTTGTTCGTTGAAAAACTATCGCTTTTGATCCAAATGATTTTACGAGGATTACATGGCGGTGAACTTCTGCATTGCTCTGACTATGACACAAAGCGGAGAGCTTCAATTCAGTCTGAACTTGAACTTGCCCTTCCAGAACGCACTTGGCTCTTTTCACATCACCAATGGCCGTTAGCTCAACTTAGCCCATTACAAGAACTTAAAATAAAGTTAAACACGCCGAACTCCCAAATCGTTTAGAAGTAGGATCGTACTCCCCAAATAAATTCAAAATAACAGGCACATACATGGTATTTTTCACACAACCCGAGATTACACGTATTTTATGGATCTCCGGACTTCTTGAATTCGTTTCAGTGCATCCACAGTCTACGAGGCTTTTTGAACATTTCGCATTTGGGTCGGTTGCCGTCTGAGAACTTCCATCTTCACTATGAATGTCGCTGAATGCTGCTCGACTCGAATCTCTCTGGGCTCAACAAGCCCGGTGTGAGGTTGAACCTCCGCCTTGTTCCTAATAAATGGCTTCACTAAATCAGTCGTGATAAAATTCAATAGTCTGCTGGATAGAAAAAAAGTATTTGTGAAAAGCACCCGTACATTGGCAACTGACTGACAGACGTTTCTTTGGCGAAGAACATTCTTCAGAACAGCGTGCGCTTGAATGCCACGTGAACCACGAATAAAAAAGCAATCCTCAAGCAGTTCACATGTGGAAGATAAAGAGATGACAACTTAAGGCCTAAGAAAATCAAAACTGCATAATTATATTTAAGCTAAACGGTGAAGGATAAAGCTTTCGGGGTTGATCAATCCCTGAGGGATGTGCCCTGCATTCGACTTCATTAAGCATCGTTTGGAGGTGAGTGAATGCATATCTGGCCTTCCACCGATCTATCGAGCCAGTGCTGCTATTT